CCACAAAGTTTGGCTGGAGTTAGGCTTTGAAAAATTTGTGAATGACTGCAACGGTCTGTGTTTGATGAAGTTATGATTACTTAGTAGCTGGAAGACAGCATATGACATACCTGGACTGGTAGTCTTTGGGTGACATAATCACTCCTGGAATGATCAACTATTGTCAAATTCTCCCTTATACAGGGGAGCCAGCGCTGCAAGATCACATGACTGGAATGGATAAACAAATGGGAGTTGCACCATATTTTTTTAAACCAGGTATGTAGGTTTGGTAGGAGGAGTGAGGGAATTTTTCAAAGAATAATTAATGTTAGGCTTTTCTTTCACTGTAAATACTGTATAATTTAAAAAGCCTATAGAGGGATAATAATTGGAGACATTACATTGTTATGGCAAATACATTGTATTATTCACCTGTGCTAGGATGGATGATCATATGCACAAAAAACCAGCTGTAATGAAAAGTGCTCTTACACTCTATAAACATAAACTGAATCTTTACAGTGCTTTGTTCTACAAAATATAAAAAATCACTGTGTTTCCAAATATATATAAACAAATATACAAATACAGAAAAAAAGTCCATCAAAATATATATTATGTGCCACCACGTGGCTAACATAAGTGAGTCCATGAAAAATTAATCACAACCATGTGTTTCCATACATCTTCAACAAACACCACTTCACAGTCTTGTGTGATATTCCAGTGCTCCTCCATCACCAACATAGAAAACTCACCACAACAAGTCAAACTCACCAGACAAGTATGACCACCCACCATAGGTAAGTCATGCTGTGCTTGTGTTTATATGGCACCAGCCACTACTTCCTTAATATAGGATATTCCCCTTATTCTCCAGGACACTCATATTAAGCCATATAAAAGAGGTACAGGAAGACTGCTATTGCGTACAAACCTTAAAGTGTTACTAAACCCAGGACCCTGCATTCACTATATCTGGTCTCCCACAGTACACAGAACAAGGAAATGCAATTATTTTAGTAAAATATAAACTGCTAAATACCTCTTCTCATCAGCAGTTAGAGCAGTCTTGTGACTTCTATCAGTGTTCAGCATAGCACTGAAAAGCTTGTAGGAGGAGTCTTCTCTAGGAGGATGCAGAACCCCTGACCTCTGTCTGGGCAGTGCTGATTGGCCCTGTGCTGATCACATGCACTCTCCGAAGAAAAAAAAGAAAAACCTCTCTATCAATACACACCAAACGTAGCATGTGCAGTGTCTCCACACGATATGTCTTATCAGGAGATAAAGAGGGGAGCACTGAAATAAGGGGAGGATCAGAGAAGTCAGGATCAAACAGCATTTTTACACAATGCAAAGGATTAACCCATTATGTTCTACAGTGAGTATAACAAGCATGTTTTACTACATATACAGACTGATTTTACTGTTGTGGGTTTAGTAACACTTTAAGATGCTTTTTATTATATGCTAAAACCAGTAAAAATCTAATCACATACCTATTGCTTAGCCTAGCTCTAGGGTATAATCGCATTTATATGTAGTCACATAGGTGTTCCGGCTGCCTGCTCCATGCCAGGCAGGATGGCTCAGTGTATCGTGCAAGATGACGTTACTTCCTGTCCTGCCCCGCTGCGGTGTTTTGCCGAACGGACGTTATCAAGAGGTGTGTCAGGAGGAAGTCATCCCTTACTTTTATACTGCACTATTAACCCTGTGAAGTGGTGTTCATTGAACATGTATGGAAACACATGATTGTGATTAATTTTCACAGACTCACTTATATTAGCCACGTGGTGGCACATAATATTTATTTTTCTGTATTTGTACACTGTTAATAATTTGGCAACACAATGATGTATTATAGTTTGTAGCACATAGTGCTGTATAGATTCAGTTTGTATTACATTTTCATGTAAGCCCAATCGTGACTGGTTCTCATTAAAAAATCTAGATGGGCACCCTTTTACAGTTTTGTGAGGATACAGCAAAAGTCCTAAATAGTGTTTGAACCAGCAGGATCCCTGCATTATGTTAAATTGTGAAGTGACTGGCACATTTCCCACGCTCTATGAATTGTTTACAAACCGAATACACAGTTTATGTTAATCTATTTTTTGGTTTTGTTTTGTTTCATAACCCCCTTTATAATTTTATTACATTCTCTCCAGGGAAGACAAGAGGACAGCGCTCCATGCTTTTGCTCACCATCTGCAAGAGACTGGGAAAGAAGCCAACACTTCTGAATACTTCTAGGGTCGGTGGGTCAGCAGAGAGCTGGCTGGTTCTGATTTTTTCACGTTCCCAAAGGGAAAGCTGCTCACCTCATCACACTGCAGAATACAGACCCACAATTCCTTGTGCCTTCTGTGATCACTGACGTCTAATAGGAGTTAATTGAATGCTAAATTGTATTCCATTCCCTGCCAGATTACCATGGTACACATCAAAGACAGACTTACTGTGGCATTCCTGGGAAAGCAACAGGTACAGTATTTAGGGGAAAAGCCCCTCTACCTATGCCATGATTAAGTGAAACAGAATGCTCTTTTTACCTTTGTTTTTTTTAAGCACATATACAGAGGCCATGGTAACGTTTTCCACACACACAGTAATGAAATACCCTTTTGTATTTATTTTATTAATTTAAATGCTGTGGTGTGAATATATTTTACAGTTCTAAGCAAAGAATATTGATAACTGCATGACAGTTATTGCTTTGCAGTCCACATACAAAGGTGTCTACAGTATTTAGGTGGCAATTGTCCAACCCTTTGGAGGGAAAGTTTAGCTGAAATTGTAATGTTCCTCCGCTTGGTACTGATTGAATGGCACTAAAGGTTTCTGCCTGTCACAGAGACAAAAACTCTTTTATGATGAACATGAATTTAAGAAGTTATAAAGCTGGAGGCAGCTCCCTAACTCCTCTCACTAAGGTTATTTATGTCATCCCACTTACTATACCAGACATCCCAAGCACTGATTTATGACAAAGAGTGGATACTGCGGATTGGATGCGGTTCGAACCTCATCCAATCCGCATGACATGTGAAAAAAAACATTGCTTCCTATGGTGGTGCCTGTTGACATATGTTCGGTGCACTGGCAGTGCAGATTCAGTGCAGTTTGAAAAAGAGTCATGTACGATTTCTGAGCAGTGCCTTCAGGTTCAGGTGTGGATTAGGGGCCATTGACTTCTATGGGAACCGTTTCTAAACCGCATACATGTGAACAGTATAAAATCCTGAGCTAATCCTGTCCTGAACCTGATGTAAACCTGGCCTGAACCGCTGAACAACTACTGTGTCAATTAGCTGTGAATCCTGAGCTTCAGTCAGCACCACACATGTTTGAATCAGCTCTTAGTTATGGCGATTTCTACCTAGTTACATTGGTCCAGTTTGGACAAATGTAAGTATGTAAGTGTCATACCTATGGGATTCTCATGGAGGTTAAAAATAACTGTTGTGAGTACCACTGCATCAGGGATCTTCTTTAGCTTTTGGACCCCATGCTGAGTGGCTGACCTCGTGCATTTTGAAAGAAGGAGGTCACTCATTGAGCACAAGAACTATTCAGAAAACACATTCAATTTTTTCAATAAATGCAAAATGTTCTATGATTAAATTAGGTGGAGATCATGATGTCACCGCCCTACCTCACTTCATCCAATCAGAGGCTCTGTCACAGTGTGAGTTTAGGAAATGAAGGTAGAAATGACACAGGATTTGCATTAAGGTTTAGTGTGAAGTCCCAGACTATTGTTTGTGTGAAAAGTAGGGCTTCTGTTTTATGCGGGTTTTGTAATCCTGGATCAGGATCTGGAATCTGAAGGCTTCAAAGAGATTTGGGTGGGACAGAGCCTTCAATCTTGCATCTGGGTTTTGCTGCAGGCCTGCAGCATGCGTGAGTACACAGGTGTGCAGGGTTGTTATAAGCCAAACCTGCACATAGCTCAGGGCTCTAATTTTGTAAACAGAAGCCTGTTGGGAGAGCTGTGTGCTCTACCAGAGACTGCATGCCATGTTGAAGGGGATTCCTTGCCACAGGACTGACAGAGTTGGAACAGCTAAGCATGACAGCAGAGATTGAGAGAGCGGAGGCAAATAGCAAGTCCAGTGGGCTGGAGGAACCTGTATGTCTCTGGAGTGTGAGAGAGCCTGGGGTTCTTGGAGAACTCTATTTGGGAGACAGAAGTGGGCCGGTACAGAGAGGAGCTGTGACAAAAGGCTGAGTGAGCTGGTCCTGAGGCGACCTGACAAGAGCAGTAGTGATGCTAAAGTGTAGCCAGGTGGCTAGCATTTTTCCAGTTGTCTTTTTGCTAGAGAAATCCCCTGCATGGACAACAATTGTGCTGTAAACTTTTAGCTTTGTTTATCAGTGGGCAAGTGGGCTGCCATGCCCTAAATCTGGGAACACACTGGCCGAAAATCAGCCAGTTCAGCAGGGCCCGACTGACCAACTTTCAGTCAATGTGTAGAGCTGTCTGTCTTACAGCAGCCAGTCTAATGACTGGCTTTTGTTGAAGTGCCATGCTGGAAAACCAGCATCAGATCAGCTCTTGTAGCCAGTGGCTGCAAGCTCTGATCTGTGAATTCTGACAGGAAGGGCAGGAGAATCACCTTGCTGTCAGAATTCAATAGAACAGCAGGGGGGACATTGCTTGTGTTGGTAAGGCGATCTGTCAGGTTTTTTTTTTTGCTCAACCTGCTGATTGAACAAAAAAATCTAAGAGTGTGTATCCAGCCTAAAGTGCAATTTGGACTGGAATGGACTTAATATTAACACACCATCATGAGCTAATGATACTGCAGATCACAATACATAAACGTCAGCTTTACCTTCACACTCTATCTGTATTTTTACTTGTCATTTATTAAATGCAGGGAGCAGTGTGATTGGTTTCATCCTCCCCCTGACACTTTTTTCTTCCTTTATTAAAATGAATAGGGCTTTGCTTATTAAAAGTACAGCTGAATCCTTTTCACTACACGTGCAGTCAGGGGCAGACTGACAACTTATGGGGCCCCCGGGCAATGGGGGATCATGGGGCCCCTGGGCAATGGGGGATCATGGGGCCCCTGTGTCCTTGCCCAAACTCAAAAAAACCTATGAAAAAGGTACCAGGGGCATCTCATGGGGCCTCCTACTGACCCCGGGCCCTCGGGCAGTGCCCGAGTTTCCAAATGGTCAGTTCGCCCCTGCGTGCAGTGGAAGTTATGCATCTAGAACTACGGTATGCTTTGTTGAAGTTCATTCATCCTCTGTATACAAGTGTGATATGTACTTTTCTGAGTAAAAAATATTTCAGCAGTGAGCACTGATTCATTTTTTTTTTAGGCTTGGTAGCAGAGTACATTACCTCTGTTGGTGATCTGCTTGGAGCGGAATCCATTATCCTGTGTAAGCCTCCATCTGTGATCATCCACAACCTTGGCTGTTTTCTTCATGCTAGTTTGACCTTTGTAGCTAGGGTCAAACAGGCGAGAGCACACCTAATGGGGATCTGTAGAAGTTTGATATCACCATAATGTGTTTCGGGATGGAGTGTGAACTTAAAAATTATGATGAAAAGATCTATAACATAATGTGATATCACTTTTCTTACATTCCTGTTACTATTATTTCACTGTATTTTGATTTTTAGTGATTATTATTCTGACAGCACAGTACTTTACACAATTTAGCATTTTATCACTTAACGTTTTTTCTAGGAGCCTAATTATAATTACCGCCTCCTCAAACCGCCCTCCTCAAAATCACCAACGACCTACTAACCGCCAAAGCCAAAGGCGACTACTCTGTCCTCCTCCTCCTGGACCTCTCCGTGGCCTTCGACACAGTTGACCACCCCCTCCTCCTTAATAAACTACTCTCCCTTGGCATCAGAGACACCGCTCTCTCCTGGTTCTCCTCTTACCTATCCCAACGCTCCTTCAGCGTTTCCTACAATGGTGCCACCTCCCCTTCCCTCCCCCTCTCTGTTGGGGTCCCCAGGGCTCTGTCCTTGGACCCCTTCTCTTCTCCATCTACACCTCCTCCCTTGGCAAACTCATACACTCCCACGGCTTCAACTACCACCTCTACGCTGATGACACTCAAATTTACCTGTCCACCCCCCACCTCACCTCCACTTTCTCCGCCCGCATCACTCACCTCCTAAACGACATCTCTGACTGGATGTCGCTCCATTTCCTCAAGCTTAACCTCTCCAAAACTGAGCTTCTCATCTTCCCTCCTGCCCGCACCCCCCCCCCATCCTATCCATCACTACTAACATCACCACCATCATCCCCCCCCGCAAGCCAAAGTCCTTGGAGTCATTCTGGACTCTAACCTCTCCTTCCAACCTCATGTCAAATCACTTACAAACACATGCAGACTCCACCTCCACAATATCGCCAAAATACGCACCTTCCTTACCCCAGACACCGCTAAACTACTTGTACACTCCCTGATTATCTCACGCCTTGATTACTGCAACTCCCTCCTCACCGGCCTACCCCAGTGCAGGCTCTCCCCTCTTCAGACCATCCTCAACTCAGTGGCTAGACTCATCCACCTCACCACCCGCTCCACCTCTGCCACCCCCCCTCTGCCTATCCCTCCACTGGCTCCCTATCGCCCAACGCATCAAATTCAAACTACTCACTCTGACCTACAAAGCCATTCACAACACTGCCCCTAACTACCTCACCGACCTGATTCCCAAGTACCACCCTACCCGTACCCTTCGCTCTTCACAGGACCTCCTTCTATCTTGCTCCCTGGTCTCCTCCTCACACGCATGTCTGCAAGACTTCTCCAGGTCCTCCCTTATCCTCTGGAAACTCACTACCCCAATCCATCAGACTGTCACCTTCCCTCCTCACCTTCAGGCGCTCCCTGAAAACCCACCTCTTCAGGGAAGCCTACCCCACCCTCACCTAACTGCTGCTCTCCTTCATTCCTCCTACCACTCCATCCCCCACAGCCACTTCCTCCTGTACCACTACCCCCTCCCTCCTAGATTGTAAGCTCGAAAGAGTAGGGCCCTATAACCCCTCGTGTGCTGTTTGTAGTTGCTGTAATGTTTCATGTATTGTCCCCCCCTCTATTGTACAGCGCTGAGCAAACCCTTTGGCGCTATATAAACTCAATGTAATGTAATGTAATGTAATGTACTGTGCTGTCAGAATAATAATCACTAAAAATCAAAATACAGTGAAATAATAGTAACATGAATGTAAGAAAAGTGATATCACATTATGTTATAGATCTTTTCATCATAATTTTTAAGTTCACACTCCATCCCGAAACACATTATGGTGATATCAGACTTCTACAGATCCCCATTAGGTGTGCTCTCGCCTGTTTGACCCTAGCTACAAAGGTCAAACTAGCATGAAGAAAACAGCCAAGGTTGTGGATGATCACAGATGGAGGCTTACACAGGATAATGGATTCCGCTCCAAGCAGATCACCAACAGAGGTAATGTACTCTGCTACCAAGCCTAAAAAAAAAATGAATCAGTGCTCACTGCTGAAATATTTTTTACTCAGAAAAGTACATATCACACTTGTCCTGCAAATTTTTCTTTCACAAATCATATTGCAATGATTTTTAAGATAGGATATTTTTCTTTGAAAATCAGCAGTATGTCAATTATAAGGCCATACTGCTGTTATTTAAATCCCCCCAAAAAAAACATAAATATGAAAAATGTATTGAAATTAAAAATTAAATAAGGATCTTAGAGGATGCTACGGGCAACCATAAAATTTCTGTTACAAGCAGGCACTAACAGCACGTGCGATTGGGTGAAAAGTTTGCCTAATACTCAACTAAGTCTGAAACAGAATCCCTTGGCTCTCGGCAGAATAAGGGTAGCTTGGATGTCTATGGCTAACACAGGGCTGATATGAATGCTTTATGTATTGCATTTGTAAGAGCTATAAAAAGAATACATTAAATACAGTAGCTCAGTATGGAAATAGTAGTTTGTAAAAGATGACTAAGGTCAGAACTCAGCATTAGCAATTGGTCAAAAGCAGCTCATGTTAAATGCCACAAAACAAATTCAGTTTAGTTTCATACCACAAAAAAGAAAGCTGTGGGAAAGTCTGATTCATCTTTTGACCTAAGGACCTGTTTGTGACTTAAAGCCAGCAAAATCAACCAAGGGACATGGCGATTTTCTGGTTCAGCTGACGGATGTCAGCTTAGTGTCGGCTTTATGGCTCCCGTATTAAGACATCAGAAATACTGTAGCCTCAAGTCAACAGAATTTTGTGGTTCTGTTTGTACTGAGGAAAAACACATTTTGTTCATTGTCTGATTTTTACAACCAAAGAACTGTTTTTTTTGTGATCCCTAAATTGCTTATTCATGGTGTAAATCATATGCATTCATTAGATTTTGTTACAAGAGTCTAGCAAATATTGTTCATAAGACTGAAAATATGTGTTTAATAAAATAAACATGAACTGTAAAATATACTGTATACTGATCAAACATGTCATATAATATTTCTATATCATAATAAAAGAGTTGCTATTAGGGATGAACGGAACACACCAGAGTTCATTGTAAGACAAGTTCTGCAATTTTTACTGAACTTCGAGTGCCAAATCTGAACCCAGTTGAAGTCAGTTAGAGTTAAATGTTTTTAAAACCAGTAATGACCATTTTCTAGACTATTCTAGGCAAGGAATTATCAAATAAATGGCATGGGGGCTGGGCACTGTCTTGAGGAACATGTACCAAAGCAAAAAAAGTTTTAACATTTGGTAGAGAGCAGCGATTTTAATGATGCTTTAAGTGAAACATTAAAAAAATGCAAAATTATTTTAACTGGTTCCCAACCGCACTATAGCCAAAGGACAGCTACAGTATGGTTGTGTAATCCTGGAACATTGTCCATGAACTTTATTTCAGGACATGCCCCCCTGCACGCCCCCCGCGGCGCACACCTGGCCCTGCCAGTGATCATTATGTCCTATGTCAGCGAAAGGATCGGCACTGATGATCAGTGCCCTGATGATCAGTGCCCAGCAGTGCCGCCCACCTGTGCCAACCACCTGTGCCCAGCAGTGCTGCCCTCCTGTACCCATCATTGCCACCCACCTGTGCCACTCAGTGCCACCCACCTGTTCCACTCAGCAGTGCAACCCACCTGTGCTACTCAGTGCCACCCACCTGTTCCACTCAGCAGTGCAACCCACCTGTGCCCTGCAGTGCCACCTATCAGTGCTGCCCAGCTGTGCCACCCATCAGTGCTGCCCATCAGTGCTGCCTATCAGTGCAGCAACATCAGTGCCGCCTATCCGTGCCTCCTATCAGTGCTGCCTATCAGTGCCTCCTACAGGTGTCCATCAGTGCTGCCTATCCGTGCAACCTCATCAGTGTACACCAGTGCTGCCTATCCGTGCTCATCAGTGCTCCCTATCAGTGCCCATCAGTACTGCCTATCAGTGCAGCCTCATCAACGCACATCAGTGAAGGAGAAAAATTACCTGTTTGCAAAATTTTATAATAGATACAAAGAAAACCTTTTTTTTCAAATTTTTTGCTCTTCTTGTGTTTATAAAAATAAAACACCCAGTGGCAAGTAAACACCACCAAAAGAAAGCTCTATTTGTGTGAAAAAAAAAGATAAAAATTTCATATGGGTGCAGTGTTGCATGACCGCGCAATTGTCATTCAAATTACAACAGAGCTGAAAGCTGAAAATTGGCCGGAGCAGGAAGGGGGTATAAGTGCCCAGTAGGCAAGTGGTTAAATAACATACCTGGGGGATGCTGTTAACCTTTTTTTTAAGTGGAACATTTCTCAAAGAAAAAAAAATACTATTTAAATTACCGGTAAATGGCAGCTTCAGCCACTTTGTTATGTTCGTAAACAAAGTGGCTGGGGTTTCCCTGTCAGGTCCTTATCCTAGATGAGGGTCTGGTATATAGATGGAAATGGGGGACCTTACACTAAAAAATAGTATGCCCGCCCCCATATCTATACCATACCCTTACTGAGCATGCAGCCTGCAAGGTTTAGAAAGGGGGGATGGATGACCCATACAACCAAACCACATGCACTCATCATGGGAGGGTACCTTATCAGGAGGGACCCATGTTGATCAGGACGAGGGCCTCTTTCCCACAACACTGATCAAGCTGTTGTGAGGGTCTGCAAGGGGGGGGGGGGCTCACTGA